CCGCCCTTCCAATCTTATTTTTTACATTTCCAGCTCCCTTTCTGTTTAGGCTCTACTTTTTATTCCTTGAGGTGGGCTCTCTCCCCTCCCCATCGCAGAGAGCTGCCTTTTTTTTTTTTTTTTTTTTGATGTTTGACAACAGTCTTTGAAGATTTGCTAGTTCAGAGTAGCGTCTGATGGGCTGGTTGTACTCCAGAGGGAGGGCAAGCGGGGCCCCTCGCAGTGCGACCAACTGCTCCTGCCTGCGGCATGCGCTGCCGGGACCATGGCTCTCCGTGAGGCCGAGGCCGCGGCGCATAAAGCGCCCGAGCAGCCTGGGCCCCGCGCCGCCCGCTCTCCGCGCGGCCATGGACGCGCTGCGGTGCCCGTCCCCAGGCCCGGCCAGGCCCCTGACTGTGTCCGCCCCGTGTCTTCCCCGCGCCACGCAGAGAACCCACCGCCTGCCCAAGGAGATGACCCCCGTGGAGCCCGCCGCCTTCGCGGCCGAGCTCATCTCCCGGCTGGAGAAGCTGAAGCTGGAGCTGGAGACGCGGCACAGCCTGGAGGAGCGCCTGCAGCAGATCCGAGAGGTGGGCGCCGCCCCGCCCCCTGCCCGGGGTGGGGGCCCTCCTGCTGACCCCGGCGCCCCCTGACGCTGCCTTGCCTTCCAGGACGAGGACAAGGAGGGCTCCGAGCTGGAGCTGAGCGCCCGGGAGGCGGGGCCGGCCCAGCACCCCCTCTCCCTCCTGCCATCGGGCAGCTACGAGGAGGACCCGCAGACCATCCTGGACGACCACCTGTCCAGGGTCCTCAAGACCCCCGGCTGCCAGTCCCCGGGCGTGGGCCGCTACAGCCCCCGCGCGCGCTCCCCGGACCAGCATCGCCGCCACCACCTCCTGCAGCACCGCGCGCCCCCGCCCCCCGGGGGCCCGCTGCTCCCCCCAGCCGCCGCCCCGGCCGGCTGCCCCCTCCTCGGGGCCCGGGGCTTCGTGAGCAGGCAGACGACGAAGCACGTCCACCACCACTACATCCACCACCACGCCGGCCCCCGGACCCGGGAGGAGGTGGAGGCCGAGGCCGCCCAGCGCGCGCGCTGCCCCTGCCCCGTCCCCACCCCCGGGGGGGCCGACTACCCCTGCTGTGCCAAGTGCAAAAGCCACCCTGGGGCAACGGAGCCCGCGGCGGCGGCGCAGGCTGGGTAGGTGTCCCGTGGTCGGAGGGTCGGGGAGCGCGGGCGCTGGGCCACAGGGAGGGCGGTGGGGCGGGCGGGGGCGTGGGGCTGGGCAGCAGGTGCCCCTCGCCCGCCGGCTTGGAGGGGCCGCGGAGGCAGAGGCGGCCGGGGTCCCCGGGATGGATGCGCTCCTCATTCCCCGCAGCGGCCGCGGCCGAGGCGCCGTCCCACCCCGACGGAGCGGGAGAGGCTCGGAGCCGGGCCCGGCCGGGCCAGCCCGGGAAGGAGGGGCCCCCGGCGGAGCGGGGCCGCTGCAGCCGCCCGGGGAGGAGGGAGACCGGGCGCAGGACGTATGGCAGTGGGTGCTGGAGAGCGAGCGGCCGGGCAAGCCCAAGCCGCACAGGTGAACACGGGCGGCTCGCCGCCCGGGGCGGGGTGTGGGTGGGGGGCCCTCTGCGCTGAGCGCGACCAGGGCCGGTGGCTCCCGCCCTGCTAGTCGTGAGCGTCTGTCTGGGCGGCCCGCAGGAGTGCGGCGCTGGGGCCACGCGCCCAGCAGTGTTACTGTCGCGTTTTCTTTTCTCCCCTTGTCTCTGTGATTTCTCCTGAAGTCATGCTTTCCGGCCCCCTAATCCCGTGTCTCCCCTCGGCTCTCTCTCGCCCTTGCCCGTTCAGTGCCCAAAGCACCAAGCGGGCCTACCCCTTGGAGTGCGCCCGAGCATCCCCAGCCGGCCGTCACCACCTGTGGGGGGGCAGCAGCGGGCACCCCCGCGCCGCCCCCCGCGCCCACCCGTTCACCCAGGACCCTGCGGTGCCTCCCCTGACCCCACCCAACACCCTGGCGCAGCTGGAGGAGGCCTGCCGCCGGCTGGCGGAGGTGTCCAAGCCCCCGAAGCAGAGGTGAGTGGCTGGGGCAGCCGGTGGCGGGTCCCCTTGCCGGCCTCTAGGAACGGCCCCCCTGAGCTAGCCGAAGGGCTACCCAGGACCTGGCCAGGCGTGGGAGGAGGCAGCCCTCACAGGTCCCATTCCCTTAGGAAGGTCCCGACGGTGAGGTGAGCTTATGAGGAGCCGCAACCGATGGGGCTTCTAGAGTCTTCAGCCCTCTGCCTGGGCTGCAGCGTCCAGTGCTGGGCTCCTGAGGGCTTAGCACAGCTCTGCCAGGTCTCCAGGGGCTGCTGTCAACACAAGGCCTTGGTTGGGTCTCCGCGGGGATGGAAGTCGGAGGCCGGGGAGAGCGCTTCTCTGACTGCTTCCCACTGGTCCTGGGGACGGCAGGCTTCCATCTAAGTCCTTGGTGTCCTCAGGTGCTGCGTGGCCAGTCAGCAGAGGGACAGGCACCACTCGGCCACTGGTCAGCCAGGAGCCACGCCCTTCTCCAGCCCAAGCCTGGCTTCGGAAGAGTGAGTGTCTTTTCCTGGTGTTGCTGAGATCTGCCCAGAGGCTTTAGTTTTCAGGGTATTCTCTATCGGGGGCTGTGGTTTTTGAAAACTTTCTTTTAGTCTATAAAGTCGCCTTCGTTTTCACATTAGCGACAAGGAACAGTAAACCCAGATGTTGCCGTAAATTAGGATCTCGAAAAACCCCACCGGCACCGAGAAATGCATCGTGACTTGTACACAGGTGTTCCCTCCTGAAGTGGTGGGTAGCTCAGGGTTCCTGGACTCAAGCTCAGACGGGAAGCCTTTAGCTGATGGGTAGAGGGACCTCAAACCCAGATGGAAAAGTTGTCCCCGTTAGCCCAGAAAGTTAGTGAGTTGGAAAACCATCTTTGTGTCACACTGAGCGGGAGGGTGCCTCTCCACCGTTGCAGGGATGGAGAGGGGACCATCTTTGCTGTTTTGCGGGGGGAGCAGCACATCTTCCCCACTGGTCCCATGATTCCTGTCCTAAACCTACACTCTTGTAAAGTGGGCAGGGAAGCCAGGCTTCGTCTCACTCCAGGGCGGTGCGCTGAAAAAGCGTTAGGTTGTGGAGGTCTAAAGTGGCCTGTGAGCAATGAACAGTGTTCGAACTGAGAGGACCTCCACCCTGTTAACAGCTGGTGGACCTTAAGTTCAGCTGTCCGCCGGGCCTGCATCTTTTTTTTTTTTTTTTTTTTTTTTTTTTTTTTTTTTTTTTTTTTAAGCCACTCCACAAAAACTCAGAAGTTGAGATGACTGAGGGCTGACCCCATCCCCCGCCAGTGGGCTCTGGCTTTCCGGGCTCATGCCACTCCTGGGTTTGTCCCTACAGCAGATGCTGGTCGGAGCGAGTGTCCCTGTGGCTCTGGGTGGGTTTCTTCTTTCTCATCTTCCTTGGCAAGCACCCCATTGGTGCCCCCCCCCCGATGGACACCACTCGGTCCTCCCATTGGGTGGAAGGAGACGGTCCCTTCCTGGTTGCTCCACGCAGATGACCTGAGGGAGGACCGTGTGTCCACCGGAGTTGGCTGCCTCTGTGAATCAGGACCCGCACCCTCGTGGTGTACAGCTGCAGCCCGACCTTGTCTCTGAAGACAGCGCCCCCGGGTGTGTACGTGCACGTACGTGCACACGTGCTTGCTGCCTTCAAATGCGGGACTTGTTGCTTTTCCATCTTATTTTCAGTCACAGAGAGCCAAGGAAGCTGGCAGGGGCGCGCGCTCCCCAGGCCAGCGAGCTGGTGGTCACCTACTTTTTCTGCGGAGAGGAGATTCCGTACCGGAGGATGCTGAAGGCCCAGAGCCTGACCCTGGGCCACTTTAAAGAGCAGCTCAGCAAAAAGGGAAATTATCGGTGAGCGTCGCATGGCTTCTTTCTGCTGCAGACTTGGTTTGCTCAGAGCCAAGAGCCAGGGTCACTTCCTGGAGGGGCCCCCGGAGGGGCTGCGCGATGTTTCGCTCTGTCTCACTGACGCTGTCCCCTCCCCCCTCCCCGAGATGACACGGCAGCAGCGGCAGCAGGGAGGGCTCTGTGGGCACCTGGGTGGGCTTTTTTTTACCAGGTGGACGAGCCTGAGGGTTAGGGTTAGGAGCAAGGGGTCGGCTGGCTTTGCCAGAAGGAGAGCTGGGCTGGGGCCGTCTCGTGGAGGCTCTGCCTGAAAGGGGTGAGGGGTGCGGGGGAAAGCTAGGGAGGGAACAGACAGATGGAGAGACTGCCTGATGAAGAGGCTGAAAGGCTGCCCTCCTGGCACGTCTGGGAGAGGCCGTCCTCACCGAAGGCTCAGGGACAGGCAGAGACCACTGCCCGCACTGTGGCAGCGTCCTCTTCCCTCAGCCTCCGTGTCCCAAGTCATGCGGGACAGGGTTGCCTGAAACAGAGGAAGGGCAGGACCTGTGGGTGGACACGGTGGGGCGGCGTCAGGGCTGGCCACTCCTCCTGCTGGGGCCTCGGGACGGGAACCCACCCTCCCTCCCGGCGTCCTCTCCCCTCTACACGGTCCAGATGCCCACCCTGGCCTGCCGGACCCTGGAGGGGATTCAAGAGCCGGGGGCTGGCCCTGGGCGTCTCTCGGTCACTTTCCCCTCGACGTGGGGCAGGTGATGACCAGAGTCCTACCTGCCCCTTCTCGGCGGCCTTCGTCCCAAGGGGACCCGTGGGTTCCATCCCGCTGTGTCCCGAGTGCCGTGTGCAGGGCTGGGACAGGAGAGGCGGGAGGTTAGAGAGGAGACAGCCCGGGCCCGGAAGGTGCCCCCCTGCTGCTGCCCCGAGCAGGGATGGCGCGGAGAGCTCTAACACACTTCACCACCTGCTGGGCGTGCACCGGCTCTGGACCCCCGGCAAGCCCAGCCCCGGGGCCCGTGACCCCAGCCCTTCCAGAGCAGACACTTCCACCGGGGCCAGTGCGGGGGGAGGGGGGGTGTCGATTTGGGCAGCGGCCCAGAGTGACTCTGTTTGCAGGGAAGGGACGTGGCTCAGGGCCGGGACCCTGCCCGTGACTGACGGTGGGGCCTGGAGCTGGGCTGACATCTTTCCCTTTTGCCCAGGCAGAGACAGTTCTGGAAATGCACCGGGCGGCTGGGGAACGGGCCTGGCTCCTCCTTCCTCTTCTGTTTTTATCTTGAACAGACACAAGGTGAAACTAATTACACAAGTGTGCCCCCCAGGGATTCATTTTGATCTCAGCTTTGGCTCGGCTGGACTTTGGAACCGCAGGTGACCTTCAGGGGAGCAGGGCCGAGGGGCGCTGAGCAGAGGCTGCAGGGACGGCTCCACACGCAGCCACTCGAGCCCCATCTGGCTCGGAGTGTTTTCTAAGGCACACTCAGCAAGCCTGGCTTTGAAGCCCCGGCCTCCCTTCTAATGCACACAGACTCGCACACATGGGCGACTGGCAGATTCTTTGCTGATTGGATCAGGCTGCGGCCCTTCCCAGCCGCCTTAGGTGGCTCCACCGGCTCCCCGGGCCGGAGCTGGACCCTTTGCCCGCTGGGTCGGGAGGGCACCGGGCGCCGCGCCTCGTCCTCCCGGTGGGGTGGCACTGCAACACTCGCCTCGCACCCCTCTCCGCCGCCTGCCATCCAGAGCCCAGCGAGGATGGGGGTGGGGAGCGGGGACCTGGGCTGCGCTGAGCAATCAACGTGGCAGAGCTTCAGAGCAGCCGCTGCAGACATGCCAGACGGCAGAAGGAAGCAGAGTTTGCCACACAAAGCAGGTCGCAGTGGAAGAGAAGCTGAGGGCAGCGCAGTGCCTTTGAAGTCTGGGGGGGGCGTGGGAGGGCCGGGGAGGAGGTCGCAGTCAGGGACACGGTCACTCGCTGCGTGTCTCTGCTCAGAGGGGCCGGGAGAGCCCCCATGCTGGGCCCGAGGCCTGCCTGGGGTGGTGTAGGCATTGGAGCCTCTCATTTAGAAAGAACTCCCCCCCGCTGCCCAGGGTCTCCTGTGTGCAGCGCCCCTCCCCCAGCTCTCATCGGGTCCCCCGGGTCTCTGCCCCCCTCGCCCCAGAGTGTCTTCGCCGCTGACCCCCTCGAGCTGGGCGGTCACCCCGATGCCTTAGCCCAGCCGGGAACGCCAGAAACCCAGACCCTTGACTAAATGCAGCTGTTTCACTGGGTTTAGCCTTATCTCCTATGAAAGTACTTGGCTGGCCTTCGTTAAAGAGGAAAGAAATTTAGCTCTAACCAAGGGGAATTGAAAAAAACTTTTTAAGGAGAAAAGACAAAAACAGAAAACCACTGTAACCCTGAGACGCAATTATTTTTTTTATTTGAAAAGCTATTACCCTCCCCCCAGGGGACCGTGACCCTCCCTCCACGAGTGGCCTTTATTGGCTGAAGATGACAGCTTGCAGGGGCGAGTTCAAAGCGTCTGAGGGGTCTCCCTGGCCTGGGACGGGGAGGGATAGGCCTTGGCTTCGTGTCCTGGGAAGGGGCTTGGGTGGGTGTGGCCGAGCGGGACAGCAGTTTTCACACACGACTCTCCTGGGACAGGCTGGTCGTTTGCGTCCTTACAGCTAAACAGGCTTCAAACAAGAAGCCGGGCTGGGATGGAAGGAGCATTTTTAATCAGCGGGCAGGATAGGGGCCTTTAGCGTTTGCCCTGGAGGAGGGGAGGGGAGGGAAGGGGCCGGGCAGAGGGGAGAGTAGCGGGGGACTCGGTGGCTGCAGCCCCGGGAAGCAGTGGGCTGCCCGCCTCCTGCGGTGACCACAGGGGAAGCCTGTCCTGGCCCTGCCAGCCCAAGCTGTGCCCAGCACCAGCCAGGAGGGCTGGCCCTTGGGCGCTGGAGGGCAGGGAGCCTGAGAGGTGCCAGCCTTCCGCAGACTGCTACCGAGTCGGGGGGCTGAGTCGGGGGTCTCTTTGAGGGACCCACCCCTCCAGGCATGCCTTGCGCTCCCCCGC